AACAGATGTAGATTATGGTCTGAAGTGATACATAGGCATTTTACCCCTGGGACCGCGGGCGAAGCCGCTGGCAGAAGCTAGTCTATAATAAGACCCAAAAATATATAACTATACCTTTTTTTAAACTTTACCCCACACTAGGTTTTTCTCTTGTGTCGTGGGTGCATTTAAATTCACATACACATTTACACATGACACCTAGACCTGAACCAACAAGTGTGGATCGTACAAATAGTTGCTCCGTGCGGGAATCGCACCCGTTACACGTTGCGCGGTAGCCAGTTGCACCAAACATGCAGGTGAAATTACCTAACTAAAACAATGTATTCTAATTGCAAACTGATTGTTATACTATTATAATCCAGTTTAATTTATTATCGTCCATTTGTTACGCTATGACACGTTGATTTATTGAACGCTAAAAAAGTGTTGTAAACAGCTACAGAATAAAAACCACAAATTGAATTTGCGTTTTGAATTTTTTTTCGTTAATTAAAAATATGACCGCGGTGAAATGCTTCGGTTCGGTGTTGCCATTGTTTTGTTATGCCAGACTTTTAATAAATATTAATTATTTTTAGTCACACAAACATCGACAGCCACTGCCGACCAAAGGCCTCTTCTCGGACGGGGAAGGTTTGAGCATTCATAACCATGCTTTTTCGATGCGGGCTGGCTATTTCAAACTTATAATTAGAATAAGTCCAGACTTCCTCATTATGGTTTCTTTTACCGTTTGTTAGTAATGTCTAAATAATCTTAAAAAGTATGTACATATAACTCGGAAAATGTCACATTGGTATCTATTTGTTGTAGACAGGTTCTGAACCCGCACTCTCATGCATGAGAAGTAGTAGGCGTCTTAGACTTCTGAGCCACCACGACACATTATTTTTGGTTAACGTTTCTCTTTTATTTGACGGCTACCATTTTGATTTGAGATTTAAAAGGCTATTGAAAGGGTTTGTAAATAGGAACTGCTTTTTTAAATTTGTTTAGAATTATTTTTATATTCTACATTATTGTTGGTGAATTGGTCGTAAATACGACTGCAGTGTAGGGAATCTTTGGTTTTATTTACGAAAGATTAATTAAAGCAAATTGAGCAATTTTGACTTAAAAATTCTTAACAGAATCAGTAGACACATAGGATCCGGACCATACAAAAGAAGTTTATTATGTATGTAAGTTGTAAAGGGCCGAGTCTCCTAACTTAGGCATGTCTTGCTTAAAAGGACGCTCCATACATTTTGTAAGCACCATAATCTGTGTTTGCAAATAAACTTATTTATTATTATTAAGATTTATTAAGATTATTTATTATTATTTATTTACCATAGCCTGCACGGTTGGTGCGGTGACTGGGCAACTGGCTACCGCGCAACGTGTCGCGTGTTCGATTTCCGCACGGACCAACTATTTGTGTGATCCACAGATTGTTGTTCCGGGTCTGGGTGTAATGTGTATGTGAACTTGTGTTTGTAAAAGCACCCACGACACAGGAAAAAATTCTAGGGAGGGGCATAGTTTTTTTAAAAACAAAAAAGAAATAGCATATAACTGGTAAATAGCAGTTATTAACTACCTATAGGTAAGTATTTATAGGAATGCTCACTTAGTGTGGATATTGACATGTCCTATTCTCTTTCTAAAGTGAAAACTGTCCTGCGTAGGACATTCTCACAGAGTTAAACTGCACTATATGCACTACATGTTCAGATCAAAATCAAAATTGTACACTTTAAAAATTAAGAAGAAGTAAAAACTAAAATTTAACAATTGTGATTGAAATTGATGTCTTTTTTTTTTTTGATAAGCGAACTTTGTTTTTTTTTTGTTGTAATATCCTGTTCTTTTATAATGCATGTCGTGGCAGCCTGTAATTAAGGCTACACTATAGAGTGTTAAAATATTATGTAAAAAAAACCTATCATGTATTTTGGTGTATGCTTTGTTGGTTGTCCTTAAATAAATAAATAAATAAATAAAATTTCTGTCCACTCGAGGTTTATGAAACAAAATTAAATAAGAGAAAATTATTAGTATTTAAACATAGTCTATTTCAAAATACCTACAATTAGTATTACGTTATTCAATGTACACAAAATAAATTATATTTTGCATATCCCTAGAGATATCCCATATTTACCTCTATTACCCCATTCAACAGCAAACATGATGGTATACGTTTAATTGCTAAACAATTATACAGTCTCTACAGACAACGAAATAGTTACCTAAATGTGTTTAATAATAAAATACAAATTTGGTTGGGATATCGAAAACTAAATTCATTAAAACTATCGCTTCGACCAAATGTTTTTAACTCTAAAACTCTTATTGGACGACATTCTGGTTGCTATTAATGAAAATTATTTTGATTTGAAACTTTGAGTTAAAATTAAAAGGATTTTAATATAGGCTTTCATGAGCAGTTTTTATGTTATAACATTGCTATTTTATCGTTATTTTAGTTCAATCTATGAGCCACAAAATATATCTCCGGACGACTAACATTTTGTAAATATATTGTAGTTATTATTAGACTTTAGAATTCATCTTTTAAATATATGTGTTTCAAATTAGTAATCAGAAACAGGTAATTAATTACTAACGGTTTAAACATAAGTAAAATGTATAAAAACGATACAATATAATTACATAATACAACATTACGCCTTTTATCCCCGAAGGTGTAGGCAGAGGTGCATTACGGCAATTAATGCCACTGTGCAATATACCACTCACTTTTTACTATTTATGTTACGAGTCCTATGTAATAAGGACTGAGCCTATTGCATAACATAGCCTATAGCATATACTTATATATTAAATACAACAAAGCTTTTCTCATTGTACTTAAACCTGCTTAAAATATCTTCATGGCTTGTATCATTCTTTTACAATGTAGTATCAAGTCGTGTACCACTAGAAAAGCCATAAGAAGAAGAAGTCACGACGCACCTAAGTCGACAATGTACCAGGGTCGTAGCAAAGTTGAAGAGGTTTCACCAAGTACTAAACGGTTTAGTGGCTAAAAGTGTCCGGTCATAGTGTATTAGTATAAGTTTTATGTTAAAAGTTGTACATCCACCCGAAGTAATGACATTTGCCTCGCACTTAGCGACTGCAGGAACTCGTTGTGATGTAATTTGTGAGTTCTAGCTTGATGACAGCCTAGTAGTTGTAAGTGAGATTGCTATACAAAATCTTATGTTTGATTCTCCTTTTTGTAGTGTTTTATCTATTCCTTTGGTGAAGTTGCCATAAAAGCGACTACCTAGTCTAGGGTCTCGAGATTGATATCCGGTTCGGATAAAGTGTATCCTTATATATTAGTCGGTCGTATTAGATTTTTTTGTTTTTAGCGAAGTCTGGTTATATACATATATACCACTATAATGCCCTATAATAGTGACCTGAGGTCTAATCGGATAAAGAAACTAGATGAGGCCTAATTACTTCACCCTCCCTTTCCCAATCTTCTCAATCCCTGAATCCCCAACAATACTCAAATTCTTAATGCCCAAAAGGCCAGTAACGCGTCGCGGAGAACCTAACGGGTAACCGGGGCTCCGGCTCGACGTGTAGGAGAAGGAACGGGGTGGTTTTTAGTCAGTAAGAGTCTGACACTCCCTTCCGCCTCACCCAGGCGGGAGCAGTCATTCGATGATTTTTCCCCCTTAAAAAAAAACTTGTTAGTTGTTTCGCCTCTGGTGTTCCGGGTGTCCAGGGGCGACGCCGATTGCTTACCCTCAGGTGATCCGTTTGCCCTCTTACCGCCTTATCCCATAAAAAAACAACTAGCAACAACTGGTACCAAACAAAAATGTTCGATTATTTTAATCTACTTATCTCTTTGGGCAGTAAATAATGTGGATTTATGTTACCTACCTACTTATTAGCAGTCTAAAAATAGAGCACTAGGACACTATTCAAGTGTTGAGTAGTTGTTAAGGATTATATTAGGCTTATAGAAAGGTAGCCTCAGCTGTCGACCTAGCTTTAAAAGGGTTGGCGCCGAAGTGATTTTAGACACTTTGAAATATAAACTACGCCCTTTTTTAGTAGTTTAATAATGGATAAGTTAGTCTATTCACAAATGAGATGTGATATATGATGCCTTTTTATAGTAATTTTAGTTTTTACAGAATAGAGATCATCATTATCATACCGACCTGAATTAATCCAATGATTTATTGGTGGGCTTTATATTTTTATATTTTTTTATATTATATTTTTTTTACATATCATAACATCACGCATTTTATCCCCGAAAGGACAGAGGTGGCACATTACGCCACTGTACAATGTGACATCCACTTTGCACTATTTATGTTATGAGTCCCATGTAATAGGGGGTAAGCGTATTGCCATATACCGGGCACAATTCCAGATTCCATGGTACGACTGAAATTTTTTTAAAAGCCCAGTAGTACTTTGTCCTACCCGGTAATCGACCCCTCGGCCAACGAGGTATGTTTTTTTATGATCAAATATTTAAAAATGTATTAATGAAATATGAAAATAACTAAAAAAAAAAAATGATGAAAATTATATATCACTGTTATCACGAAATGTAAGTACATGAAAAAAAGTAATGAATTAACAAATTGAAGCGTAAATACATCCAAACAAATGAATGTCATTCATGTGGATTAAAACGACAATCATAAAAAAGGAATTTTCGTAAATCGCGGGCATTATCATTATTGGGAAATGTTAAACAATTGACTGAATTTCATATTTTATGGCTTTTTAAGTTACATAAATATTACTTCGTTCATTTTTAACGTGAATATATTTTTTCAATAGGTCGTACCTAATAATAAAATCGTATTTTTTATACTGATACGTATTTTTATGAATGTTTTTTCTTTTGTATTTTTTCGATATAAAATTATTGCAATTTTTTTTAGCAATTCACTTTATTTTAATTTAACTATTGTTTTACTTAAATTATAATGAATTAAATATTAATAGTTGTTTTTTTTTCACAGATGTATCCGAGGAGACTACCTGAAGGTATACTCGGAAGGTGGCGTCCATGGACCAGGACCACCTGGTGTGAACGAATACTCAGCGTGGTCGAGGGTCCTATGTGGCAGTAGAGCTGATGCTCCACCTGCTTTGTACTCCCATGGACCACTCCTAGTGCTAGAACTCCACACAGGAATCAAAGCTACTAATGCCACTGGTTTTGTTGGAAACTACAGGTTTATAGATAGAAGTAAGTGTACATATATTAAGTTATTGAAAATAATCTAGATATCTTAAACTTGTAATATGTCACCATGAGTCTGACAAAACCTGTCTTCAAGGCTCGAATGAATGGTTGCTTATGGGACAACGTACTCCATCGTAGACCGCATCATCGATTACCATCAGGAGAGATAGTGGTCAGACATCGGACCAACAAATTAAAAAAAAAAAACAAAGCAATGGTAGAAACCAAGATATCATAAAGAACTATTTGATAGGTACTTAAGTTCCGTAAAAATACGATTTTAAGATTTACTTTCAAACGTACGTTTTACTCTTTACTTCATACAACACCATTGAATCTTAAGATTAGAAGAAAGAAAGACAAGAAAGAAAAGTTTACGACAAGCAAGATTATTTAAGAAGCTTGAAACTTGGTTTATACACAAAGCATCGTTAAAAATTTTCATGCTTTTCATCATCATGCAACAGCATCCATCATTTTTCATCAAGAGATTTAATACTCTGTTCGTGACGTTTATCGTTCAAAACAGAAAAAAATCGAACAAAACTTCCGTTTTTTACTATTTGTGGAATGTTCGACAGCTTGATCACCCTCGTAAAGGAAGACGATAAAATTTCAGTTCTCACATCCCATTAAAGCAATAGTCTTGCTCATAAACCAAATGACAATAATAAAGCAAGTCGCAAAACACTCCAGTCAATAATGAATCAAACAATTAAAGCACTTAAAACTTTATACTTTGGGTACAGAACAAAAATATTCGTTAATAAACGGCTCATTTTATTCCAAACTTCGTTTATTTGATCCATAAAGTTTTTACTCTGTGATCATTAATTCTTATTACAGTCAATCGCCCCCGTCCTTGGCTGTCCATCTCTGTCTGATCAAATCAGTGTCTGGTTTGGTTACCTTAAATATATCAATTAATTTCGTTAAAGCCACAACAGCTTGCGCGATCTTCCTTTTGGGGGAAATGAACAAGGGTTTTGTAACTTTTTTCATTTAAAATGTTTTTGTTATTATTATTATCACAATTTTATTTATTTTCATTATAAAGTTGTGTTAAAAAGACTTGATTGACTGAAGGATTATAATTTGATAATAGAAAATAACTTTGGAAAAGTAGACAACGATTGTTCGTCATGTGATCGTACATAACATGAGTTTCATTCGACAGAAAACGAACCACTAGACATAAAACAAATTTACCCCTTCCCAAACACCTATCACAAGCCACGAACAAAAACTCACTCGCAAAAAATACAAAACAAACAAACATTTCACTCACGTAACAGATCGACTTCCATTCATCGATCTCTTAAGTTTTCCAATCTATAAAACTTGTACCTCGTTTCCTAGGAAATTTCGAGACAGACGGTGTACAAGTGGCCGAGACGTGGTGTGATTATGTCTTCCACTCTCAGCCAAACAGACCTGCTCATGGACGCCTGTATAGCCCAAGATATCCGTCGAGTTATCCTAGTAACGTGAGATGTACTTATCATTTCAGCGCGAGGTGAGTGTGTTGTGAATTTTGTGCTAACAGTTGAATATTGTCGCAATGCATTTTAAGCATTGTGATATCACTAATGCCTTTGTGAAGTGTTGTATCTACTATTAAAATTTGTCCATTAGTTTTTGAGGACCTTATTAAGTTTTTGCAAAGATCTGTTCTTGACAGTTAATAGAGATAAAATGAACGATTATAATTTCATAATGATAGTAAAAATTGGCATAAACTTTAATTTCACAGTCGAACAATCAAATATTTTTATCAGAAAATGAAATTGGAAAATTGGTCTCATGATTACTAGTGAAGAACAATTTGCATAACTTCTTCGAATTGAGCACAATTTATTCAAAACCTCAATTCAACTAGAAATCTAATAAGCTTCGAACATTTCTAAGCACTTCAATACCATTCTACTGTTTTAGGCACAACGAGAGGATCAAGTTAGTTTTCGAAGAATCGTTCCTTCAGAAAGGCGACGAGAGGTATTTAGAAGTTCATTTCTTTAGTAAAGCGTCCTTTTCCTTGGTGTTATAACTTTTCTACTTTCCAGTTGCCTCAATCGTGCCGACATAATAAAAGTGTTCGATGGACGGACTTCGACGGCGCCGGTCCTTGCAATGCTTTGTAACGAAGCCGTAGGTACGAATTATTTTGGATTTCTCTGAATGGAACCTGATTTCTTTCACTGTATTTTATCTTGACGTGTGATGTGGAGGAAAATGTGACTGTTTGAGATATATTTGTTGCTTCTTGATTGTCAATAAATTCAAGGTTGGAAATGTGTTCGCGAGATATTGAGAAAATGTGAGATAGTAGCCGTGTGACACTTAACTTACAGTAGAATATTATTATTAAAACAGTCAGTGGAAGACATCAATAAATAGTTTAGTAAACTATTTTTTTTTGTGTGTATTTGTCCAGGATATGAGATTTTGTCAACGGGACCAGACTTGCTGGTGCAGTTTACTGCTAATTCCGATCTCCCTGGACAAGGATTCAAAGCCAGATACCAGTTTCAAATGGAAGACGACTCAAATGCAGGTTTAGTAAGCATGTCATAGTTACTGTATCAAAAACTGAAGTATTTTGTTAAGAGAATTACCGTGTTGAGTAAAGAATTAAATTGTAATAACAAAGGCGTAAATACCTTCGTGTATTCACGTGTATTATGTGTGGCTCTGTGTGTTTCCAATTAACACGGAACACACATAACCAATGCGTAGCAATTCCGTAGTAAATACATATCATGCACCAATAGGCACGGTATATACACATACGCAGATGTATCTTGTTTAGATAATTTATAGGACATTTTACAAACGCATACAAACATCATAAGGTTTACTAGTTATGTTTATTTCTCTCTAAGTTTCAAATAGTAACAGCTGCCGATGAATAGCATGCTATTCCATTTTGAACTTTATAAAATTTCATAATAAAGTGTACCACAATAATATTCTCTCTCTCACCAGATGGGGATATTAATAAGAAATCAAGTACAACGGAGGCAATATCCGGCTTAGGGCCGGCTGTGAGCGCCGCGAGTAAGTCCTTCAAATAATGTAGCCATTTCAAAACACAGAGTTTGCGTTTTTATAAACAAAATCACCTCATATATTATTAGGAGTGGCATCTTTTTGTAAAATGCTTTGTTGTCGCTTCTTTTAAGGCTTATTTTGGCTTGCAGAAGAATAGAAATGCAAAATGAATGAGTTTTTTTTATATTTGCAAGATGTCGTTGTTAGTTTATTGTTTCCTCAAAATGTATGTCATTGTGTTTAAAATCGAATCGAGTGCATCTTGCTGGTCGGTTGAGTAAAACGTTTATTGAATTTATTTGCTAGTTTAAGTAAACAAGAAATTCCTTACAACAAAGTACTATACGGTTAGCGCAGTGGCTGGGCTGCCGTTTAACGTGTTGCGGGTTCGATTTCCGCACGGACCAACTTTTTGTTTGATCCACAGATTATTGGTGTAGATGCCATGTGTATGTTAGCTTGCATGTTTGTAAAAATGACCCACAATACAGGAGTAAATCCTAGGGTGGGGCAACGTTTGTATAAAACAAAAATCAACATTTTAATGCTACATAATTAGGAATCCTGCAAAATAGTGACAATGTTAAATTTCTAACACAAGTATTAAAAATGTAAGTTGAACAACTAAATAATAAAAAGATATAAACACTTCTACCCCACTCGTTCAAATGACTTCCCGAAGGTGAGGTTTAAATCTTCTATTGAGCTTATCTCAAATATATTTGGTTCATAGAGTCGTGCCAAATTGCTTGAGAATTTATTAATACGGAGGAAGCGAAAACCTTACTTTATGTAGCTTACACGAGGATAAGAGTGGCTTTAGAATGCAACGAGACTTAACTCGAAGCTATATTTTCTATTTCAATTAATTTCTGGTTTTATTTGTATTGGCATCTTCTGGAGTAAGTGAAAAATGTACAGAGGATAATGTCAAATCGACAAACTATGTCAAAATTAATATCAAGCTTGGTACATTAACTTTAAAGTACTATTTGCACATGCTCTAAAATAGCATGCTAAGATGCTAAGAGGCGTTCTATCTAGCAAGCATGCCATAAATGAGCCTGCTACCTAGTTTTTGAGTAACATTCCGAGACACATGCTACTAAGTGACTAGTGCTCAATTGAAGCATACTTTACTTGATATTAGCATATTGTGTACCTTACCTATTTATGCATTCACCTATTTATGTTCGACTACCATATAAATGTAATTTTGTCTAGGGACCTTGAACAGATGCTGCAGTACATTTAAAAATATCAGTACCTATACCTTTTACCTTTACCTTTTACCTATAATAATGTTTTTAGATATTTTCATTATATACTTAATCTTGATTGTTAATGGTTGCATCAGCTTTTGTTTTTTAAGTAAATCCTCTTTATATTTAGTCTTTGTTTTGAGTATTCAGGTACTTGTTTTGTTACTGCAACTCACTCTGAGCATTTTTATAACTAAAACATATATTTATTTATCTCCACAAAATGTTGGCGAAATATTATGAAACCTTATGAAACTATTAAGGGAGTTCGTATTTGATGATTACTCTTATATTGTAAACTTATGTTCTCAATTCTAATCTGAAACCACTTACAAAATTTTCATTACATTTTGACAGCAATAATAATTTATTACTCAAATAAATTCACCCTGTACATGGAGTCTATCAAGACATTCTGACATCATTTTCATTTACTATTTGTTACTAATGTATAATATCCAGACTAACAAACTGCTTTACACAATTTTCGACCATTACTTTACAGTAATAAAGTCGCAAATCTATTGATCAGAGTCGCTTGATGTGCTAGCATAGGAACATATTCCATTAGTGATGTGACACCTTCGTTTCAGCTTCGTCCTGCCATCAAGTATTCAGCAGTGATAAAAGCAAGACCGGGAAATTGACTTCTCCGCTCTACCCAGCCCCATATCCTCAGAAAACGCAATGTCATTATGACTTCTTAGCTCGAGGGAGGGAAAGAGTGCGACTAGTATTCGAAGACTTCAGTTTGCAGCGAATAACAGATAATATTATAGAGTAAGTTACTTTTGTGACGTGATCTTTAGATATTAGATGCTTTGAACAGAATGGTTTTGTATGAATGGTTTTCTCATAATAAAAATGTTACTGCGAATTTGAGAACTAGTTTAAAAAGCCAAAAGTAAAATGAAAGAAGATCATTTTTATTATGTTATACGTCTGTATTGGAATATGACACATTTTTCTTGTGGAAAAGTCGCTTGAAACATAAAACATCTAAAATGTTTCAAAGACTCATTCAAAATGTTCCATAAATAACTTCAGAAACAATACAAAAATTCATCCACACAACACGAAACCCGCTCACAATCTAATCCAAAAACGTATAAGAAACAAATTCAAGACAAAAAACTTCCCTCGAAAGACGACCATGACACAAAATAACGATATTACCTCAACAAAACAGAGCGGACAAAACGAAAACAAAGTACTGAAACCGATATAAAATAAACAAATTGACTTTCTTTCAGCTGTGAGAGTATGGATTCTCTCGACGTATTTTTGTATGTAGATGGTCGTCTAGAGAAGATGGCATCATTTTGCGGCAACGATATACCGAAGCCAATAATGTCGAATGGACCTAAGTTATCTATCGAGTTCCGTGGAATATACTCGTCGAGACATAGCAAGGGGTTCAAGATATCATACTCCTTTGTTGAAGGTACCTTTTATCTTAATTTTGTATGTATAGTCATGTATTGGTTTGTTGTGATCGATTGGTTGATATCTATCGTCGGCTTGGTTTATTTCTATCCTTGCTTTGGTAGCTTTGACATTAGAGCCCAGTTACATAACAAAATATAGAATGGTTTCTTTTATTACGATGCATAGATGAATGATATCGGATTGGTAATATTATTAAAATAATTTAAATGAAAATTCTATGCTTATTTACTGTGTAGTCTCAATAACAAATGTCCGTTGCTTTCCCCCAAATCCACACAAAAGCTAACAGTTAATTTCGGACATATTTTGGGTGCATCATCACAATACATACAATAATGATTTAATAATTAAAACTAGAACAATTACGTATAAGTATATGTATTTTCACAACACTAGGGGCTCGTTTAAAAATCTTTTGTTATTTCCACATAGGAATTCAGAGCGCACATATTCCTACCTCATCATTCTTGATGCGGTCGACGCTTAATTCCTCACATTTTTATGAATGTTCGCATTTCAAATAGTGACGTTGCATTCTTGCTTTTTTATTATCAAATCGGTGCCAGTTTGAAATCGTGGTCGTTGGTGTCTGTTTTATGGAGAATTGGCAATTTTAAATGTCTCCGGTTAAAGTGAAATAGGGTACATTTGAGACGTTTGAAACTGTAATCTTTAACTTGAAAACCCGGCAACGTTATTTTCTATTTAATTAAAAAACAAGTCCAAAATCGATTACGCTACCCATTTTCAACTAAACCACATGGCAGCTCGTGAGAAAATAAAACATATTTCAGCCATTTTTATAAGTAAAACCCCGTAGAAATTTTCATCTAAACTTCCAAGCTCGGAAGTCAGGAAACAAACATATCGTAAATTAATATCCAAAAGTATCGCCATTCTGGGAAGCCTCAATTATGCCAAAACCGTCGGACACCAAAAAACAAAAGTAAAAAGTTTTTGACTTCCAGATTACGGGATCGCAACGGGGAGTCAACTTTTAGAATTTCCATGTGCCTTCGTATTTAATAGCAGTGAAAGGGGGAGGGGTGTGGTGACTTCACCAAACCACCCTGGCCTCTATCCAAGGGACACAGAATGCAATTACTTCTTCTACGGCAACGAAAACGAAAGAGTACATTTACATTTCACTTATTTTGACGTCGAAGGTGTGGTCCCGTAAGTAATTCATTTGAATACCATTCGATTTAGAAAAATCTCCAATAAAATATGTCAGTACCCAAGTACGGTTTGATGAGGGTTACTTATTCAAACCCGGATTGGCTTCATACAGGGTACAGATTGGTGATAAATATGTCTAAGCCATCCTAATCTAGGCTCAGCTTGAAGAGGTTATATTGATAAAATTTGGATACATTTATATTCGCTGAACTTTGAAAGACTCACGTCGAGGGATAGAAGTTACGTACAAAAATGAATAGGAGCAATAGAGTAGCAAAAATGAAAGCACAAAATAGAGGTCAAAAAAGTATAAAAGGCTTAAATTTAATATTAGCATAAAATGAGTTTCTAGACCCCTAAATTTTGGGACCCTCTGAAATGAAAGTGTCCATCATTAGTTTTTATTATGTCATAAAACTTTAATAGAGTTTAAACTAACAGCTGGCTTTATATGGAGGTTTTGAATAAATTAAACTTAATTACAGGTGCGAGGCCATATCAGCGAGTGACTACGTCCAGTTTTACAGTCAGATGATACAATCCCAGAGTCATAGACATTGTGGACAGATAAAAGAGCTTCAAGTTACGTCAGAGAAGAATTTTCTGAGAATTACCTTCAAGTCCAACGACAGACTTGATGCTACTGGATTCAAAGCGAACTACCTATTTTTAAGAGACTCTGAAATGCATAGTATAACTATGCCTAATTCTATAGACAGAGGTATGTATGTATAGCGTCTAATTTGTTACACTGATAAAAGAAAGATTGTGGTAACTTTTTTAGAACTTTGTAATGCTATATTTTCTATCTTTGATTTATTTTAATTAAGAATTTATCATAAAAACAATATTAATAACTTATTAGTAAAAGTTTAATATAAGAATGAATGTTGACTTCTAAATAGATGATGAGCCATAAACAAAAGAAATTGACCAATCATCAATAAGCATGATGACGCGACACAATCAATTGTCCAATGACAGCCTTCATTTCCCTGGCACACCTCAGGAATTCGAAACGCGTATTATTATTCCATTTATACAATTCCCGTTCCTTAGTGTTTACTTATTAAGTTTGCGAGTTTCGAAGCAGAACTTTGAAGACGCTTCAATGTTCCTTTACAACGCGTAGCGTCATTCCACGGTAGTGTTTTTGTTGTGGCATGCTTTAGATAGGCTTGTGAAGTTTAGATACATATTGACGTATTCCAAATTAATGATATTTAGTTCCGCATTTTGGATTATAAAGTTGAAATTTGCTTGGCTATAACAAAAAGGTGTGAGTTAAAATAAAGGGGTACACACAACGAGGGCGCAACAATTCATGTAAAAACAAAAAGTATTTCAGTGAAGTATTTTCATTAACGCAGGCTCATGATTAAAATTGAAGTAGAAAAGTGGAACGAAATATTTCTGTTTAAAAGTGTTCCTTTGTGGTTTTTGTCACTATTGCCGAACAACGTAATAATGTGTCTGTGGACTATAAATTCTTCTTTCACTAAATAAATAACGGGTAGGGAGGAAAATTTAATACCTTCAGCCTTGAAATAATTTAACAGCAGTAAAAACTGTCCCCTGTAAGTAATAATTTAGAACACTTTTAATAACTTTTTAACAGTTGTTTGAGGGACTGTTTATAAAGTCTAAAATTAGTTGGAACATAACATTTTTGAAATTTAACGGTCAGCTTAATGTACTCGTAAAATTGTTTTCAAAACACATTGTTGAGGGGCGTTTATTTCAAAACTTGGATGATAATTAATTTTAATGGTCCTGCACTACAAACATAATAATAAAATAAACACAAAGATATTCATGTCGTATAAAAAATAGCAAAGTTGATTAACTTAATTGTTTCTACTCATAACAACATTTAACGCACCCTAAAAAACCGTCAGTGAATACAAATCTCAATTTATCAGACAATGAAATACACTATCGTGTTTCGACCAAAAATATGTAACACATCCAAATTTACAACAAAACCTGTGCTAGACTAAAATCGCTATCAAATTCAGTAGTCACCCTACCAATGCTAACCAGAATCTCGTTAGCTCGTAACTGGTCTAAAATCTACATAAAACCTCTAATCTGATGACTGCCGGCCACTGCCGCATGTAATCCGTCTCTCAAACGCTATAGCTTTTCAGTTCCATTCAAATCATGTCCATTGTACTCTCGTCCTTCTCACAATGAAGACGTGAGTGCAAATTTACTTTAGACACCACCAACAAGAGAATTTAGAATTTTAAAGACGAGAATTAAATTTTGGGGTTGTGTTTGGGTGGATTTTGATTTGTACGTACTGATTGTCTAAAGTGAATTAAATCTCTTCAGTATAAAATCTTATAACCCATTGTTTAGTTAGTTACACAAATGACTTGATTGGAAAATTAACAATATATAGGGATTTCTTTACAGTTTACAAATTAACTTCCTTAAACACTAAAACTGACTGCCTCGATGGCCGAGTGGTCGTAAGTGCGTCTACCGGTCAAGAGCGACTGCTGGTCAAGAGGTCTCGGGTTCGATTCCCGGGTCGGGCAAAGTATTACTGGGTTTTTAAAAATCTCAGTGGTAGCACGGAGTCTGGAAATGTGCCCGGTGAATGGCAATAGGCTCACTCCCTATTACATGGGACTCATAACATAAATAGTGAAAAGTGGTGTTACTTCTGTGTGCACCTCTGCCTACCCTTTCAGGTATAAAAGGCGTGATGTTATGTATGTATGGAAACACTAAAACGTAAACGTGAACGCCAACCGAATGATAAAATATTACACGAAAAAGACAATAATCGAAAGTCAGTAACTTCAGCAGCAGGTGCATTGAAAATTAAAATAGTCAGAAAGTACTTAAAATTGAGAGCTCCATTGTCTCCACAACCAACTGTTTTCGTACTGACAGAAGTTACTTCCTTATTCCCAAAAAGTCCCACTGTGCATACTTTTAATCTACTTCAAGATGAAATTGGAGGGCTTACTAAATTAATAGGGCCAGAACTAAGCACTCATCACAATCCCTGACGCTTAGTCTAATCCTCTTAGTTACGGGTAAATGGGAGAGGATTAAAAGGATATAGGGTAATGATTGCAAAATGAATTGGGGACAACCCTAACGAATGATGAATTTAGAAATAGCAACGGTATTACAAGGGAGTAAATTAAAATTTTGATTGGTGACATGGAACGCTAGAACTCTATATGGATTTAGTGTGCAGACAATAATCAAAGGATCGGTAATAATATTAGGTTATGTTAAATCAGTTATTGTGTTAACATTTTCGATTATACTTAGTATCATTGTTGAAACCATATAAACCATTCAACAATTTTTTAATAGATGAATACTACCTATGAATATTAACTTAGTTAATTATAACACTGCCTCGTTGGCCGAGTGGTCGCAAGAGCGACTGTCGAGCAAGATGTCGCCGGTTCGATTCCGGGGTCGGGCAAAGTATTACTGGGTTTTTAAAAAAATCTCAGTAGTAGCACGGAGTCTGGAATTGTGCCGGTATATGGGAATAGGCTCACCCCCTATTACATGGGACTCATAACATAAATAGGGAAAAGTGGGTGTCACATTGTACAGTCGCATAATGTTCACCTCTGCCTACCCCTTCGGGGATAAAAGGCTAGATGTTATGTTATGTGTTCATCATCAACAGCCTATAAATGCCCACTGCTGAGCAAAGCCTCTTCTCACACGGAGAAGGTTAGAGCATTAATCACCACGCTGGCTCAACGCGGGTTGGCGATTTCAAACTTATAATTAGAAATTATAAGTCCAGGTTTCCTCACGATGTTTTTCCTTCACCGTTTGTCAGTGGTGTCTAAATAATCTTAGAAAGTACATATAACTCGGAAAAAGTCACATTGGTACTTGCCGATGGTAGGTTTCGAACCCTCATGCATGAGAAGTGGGCGTCTTAAACCTCCGGGATGTGTTATGTTATGTGTTACTTATTACAAATTTTTTGTTGCAGGTACATCATGTAACATTTCAACATCACTACTGCTACTATGTCTTTGCGAAGTCTTATGGAATTTCAGATAGTGAAAATTAATGAATTTGTAAATTCGGAGAGAAATGATTTAAATAAAATTAATGTGTTACTTTTGAAAGTTTTAATTTTGCCTTATTTGCCAATACATTTTACCTTTACTACTAAAACTGAAGATGGTGTAGCATTCGCAGCAATAAGCAATATCTTCGGTGACGTTTGTGACAGACCAAATTGACAGGAAGATATTTCGCGCTCGTCATAACTGGTCTACCACGACAGTGATGGAAGTAGTTTCACTTGATTTGTATTTATATTTCTCGACAAATTCTAATGCCTTCATTATAATATCATTTATAGTCTCCAAATATTTTATTACGAGATACAGTGATATGCAAGCGAACGGATCATCTGATGGTAAGCAATCAACGCATACCGTGAACACTTGCAAACCAGGAGTAGAGAAGTTACATTCATCTCTGTCCGATAACCTCAATTACCTACGCGGTGAAATGCAACGCAAACTTTGTTTCACAACGGTTTCCTATTTTCTTTAGTATAATTAATTTGTGCTAAAGAATAATTCCATGAGTGCCTATCTTACACCACTATAAGTCTTGTAACATTTTGATTCATTCATTATCTCATCATGTATAAGTATAAGTTCCACCAAAACTGATCATCATCATTAACAGCCTGTAAGTGCCTACTGCTGAGCAAAGCCTATTATCACACGAAAAAGGTTTTGCGATTTCAAATTTATAATTAGAAATTACAAGTCCAGGTTTCCTTACAATGTTTTCCTTCACAGTTTGTCAGTGGTGTCTAAATAATCTTAGAAAGTACATATTATAACTCGAAATAAGTCACATTGGTACTTGCCGTCGATAGGATTGACTTAACCAAACCTCATACCATCCATCAATGTTAAATTATGCATCACTAGATCATTGAAATGTAAAAACTCATATAGGTCACCCTCTTAGAGGATTTCTCCAAGGATTTCAAGGGTGACGGACGTGCAGAGCATGACATTTGCTACGTTCGTCACTGGCAAACATCGAGTAGGGTCAAAAACAGCATTAGTACCCACGTCACGTAGGTTCAGAGATCCAAGTTTAACTTCAGGATTTTAAGACCCCTCAAAAATGTTAATGTAAATGAAGTGTGTCCATGGTCTAGTAGCTACTGAGGTCATTTGCGTCAGTGTTGGGTAATTAATTGAATGTTTGATTTTCTTAAGTATGAGATTGAAATTGTTTGTTGTTGTCATTGTTATACAATGAACTTTGTTCTATAAATGATTTTTTTACAAATGAATTACATAGATTTACAAAACTATTTACATTGAAATGTCTATCCTTCGGGAAACAAACTTTGACATAATTTTGGACCTGTTCACAAGACCCATGTTTGTATCTGAGATGAATAGTTTTTTTTTAAATATTATAAATGGTGTTTATTTTTTGATAGAATATTTCTCTCTCTTCTAAATCCCTGTTTGGACTCATTTTTCATAGACCCGTTTTTACTAGAAACGTCTGGTCTAAAGCTCTATATATCGCTTAACTCACTTACCTAGAAAAACTGTCAGATAAGAAAGTGAAACGGGTTTAGTTTACAACTCAGTTTACTTATAAAGTTTGAAAGATCTCGCTGGAAGCTCTGAATTTTTTTTAAGATTAAATTTCTTTGTGATACAATTTTTAGCTTCACCTGGTTATTTACAAAGGATTTTACCTAAGATCTTGTTTAAAAAGTTTGGATGATTTTAAAACTGTGTGAGAGCCATGCTTCGGCACGAATGGGCTGGCTCGACCGGAGTGATACCACAGCCTCACAGAATACCGACGTGAAACAACGCTGGCGTTGTGTTTTGTCGTGTGAGTGAGATTACCGGAGGCCCAATTACCCCCTTCCCCAGTCTCCCCAATCCCCGAATCCTCCATAATCCTCAAATTCCCAATTCCCAAAAGGCCGGCAACGCACTTGTAACACCTTGATGTTTCAATCGACAATTCAGAATATAATTTGATTCATAGTAACACTATTCCTAAAAGCGACTTATAATTAAGTCAACTTAAGTTAGTATTCGTCCAACAAACGCTGTTGAACAAAACGCTAGCGGCGTAACAAAACCTTTGGCCATCATAGACTTTCAAAGTTTGCATATAATTATACCGGACATTTGAGTTACATTTTGAGGAACATTTGAGGAACTACGGACTTAAAGTCTATGCATAATGGAAGCGGTAGAACGGGCGAGCGGACTTCTATTATTTGTCAGCGCAAGCGTGGTAGATGAATAGTCTAGAATATATTTTCAACTATATTTATTGACGCTTCTAGGATAATTTATTTTACATTCTGTGTGGTTTTAGAAAGTAATAGACTTTTTATGGTAAAGTTTTGTGAGTGAAAATTTTGTAAAGACTAGTACTAAATTGATAGTAAATAGCATTTTGTTTACTCGATCTGAAGTATATGACAGTACTCAAGAAGATAACCGAAAAGTTTTGAGGACGGTAAATTGAAGTCTCTAGCGAGATAGTAATGATATCGATAGCAATGTTGGTGCGGTGACGCGGGTTCGATTCCCGTATGGAGCAGTTGTTTGTGTGATCCACAAATTGTTGTTCCAGGTCTGGATGTCAATTGTATATGTACTTGTATGTTTGTAAACGCACCCACGACACAGGAGAAATTTGTAGAATGGGGCGACGTTTTCCTTTTTTTTAATGTTTTTTTTTAATTAGAAACTAAAACGTTTGTAAGGTAAGTGGAATTCTGCGCTTAACATTACAACAAATTGTGGTGACATTGTGCAACTGGACAGACTCAATTTCTTTATAGATCCTGCAAAACGTGAAGAGAACCAAAAATAATAATTATTAATTAGATACATACAATTAAGAAGAATGATTAGTTAGAACAATATATGAATACAATAAAGAATCTAACGATAAATCATCGAAGCCCAGTATAAATCCAGGCTCAGCTTGCTTAAACTTCTTGATGGCTTAGTACTAAATCTGCTGTGGAAGTTATTATGGTAATACGTCTTCTGAACGACCCGAAACTTCGATTTGTTTTGAGTTATGAAACGTTTGGATCTAGATTCTGTTTCAATTAAATTATGTAGGGTCTTGAATTCCTGATTGTTAAGCTGGGATACGGTTGGGTGCGAAATCTGACGCCATTCTGTGAAAGCTGTTTCTTAAGTTATTTACTAGCTGACCCGGCGAACTTCGTACCACCTTTTTTTAAGGGGGGAAAATCATCTAATGACTGTTCCCGCCTGGGTAAGGCGGGAGGGAGTGTCAGATTCTTACTGACTAAAAACCACCCTGTTCCTTCTCCTGCACGTCGAGCCGGAGCCCCGGTAACCCGTAAGGTTCTCCGCGACTCCGAATCGGCATCAGCCCTGTTCGGCCTCATCCGCGGTGGTCTGATGGCTCTTTGAGGCGCACGCGGTACGCGACGCGCCGTAAGCTCGGGTCTGTTTCTGGTCGGACGGGGAGCCACCCATGCTCGCCGTCCGCAGGTCCGCGCTTACGGTAGCTGGAGATCGTAGTTATGAATTAACGTTTGGATTTTTGTTTGTGTTTCAATTAAATTATGTAGGGTCTTGAATTCCTGATTGTTAAGCTGGGCTATAACGGTTGGGTGCGAAATCTGACGCAATTCTATGACAGCTGTTTCTTTAGTTATTTATGAAGGTAGAGGTTTTATGCAGACACAATTGATTTCTTCGTTGATTGTGTATTTAGATATGCGACTGTTGATTTCGAGGCTTTCTTGGGCTTCTCCTTTGAGGGGTTTATGTAGTCAATCAAATCCAAGTTTCTTATTAGAATCTTAAAATATGGAACAATCTTATAGTAATGTAATTAAATGTGCAAGGCTTATTAATATCCCTAATATTGAAAAGTCTTTGAATGGAAAATATGATCAGACAACAATAAAAATAGTTATATTGACCTCTATGGGTAAATGACGCCAAAACACCTAAAAATAAAAGTAAAATTAATATTCCGAACGACGACGTAACGTGACCCTTTGAGCAAGAGAATTTAATTTCAAAAAATCTCCTATTTGTCCATTATAGAAACTGAAGCATGAAATTCGTTAAAATGTGTGGTGCAAGATAGAGGTACAAACTGACTGACTTAGAATTTCAACTTGAATAAGCTGTTGATTGATTTATTATATGTAAAACATTTTGTATCCTCTTTTTTCGGTTTTATTGAAGTCCTGATAAAGGAAAACCAAAATTTTGCTAGCTGGTTAGTTATGTAGGTACCTATCTACCTATATTATGAGCGTTGTGCACCACTCACTTTTTCTTATCGGCTTAGAAATAAAGAAGTAGAAAATCAATCTGGGTATACATACAAGCTGCACTACAAAATCTCATACGCAGTTTGAGGAATTAAATTTAGTCTTAGTTTTGTTCTGGTAAAATCCACCAAAAGTTATGCATTTTTTCTCTAGTCAAAAAGGTATTAAATACGAAGAAAACCAGCTGATAGCTTATCGCTTACACCCGCAGACAATAATTTATGAAGGCAACGGTCCGCGTCTATCGGACCGTACAAAAGGACTGAAGGATTCACTTTCAGAATTGTTTACACTGCCATGATGTGGGTGCCATTGACATCTAAGCGGTTTAGTTAGAAACCGTTGCCGTCTACAGTGACCGCAAACTGTGCCGTACAAGAAAACGCTTTTGTCAGACTGGGAACAAACTCCGTTCTTCAAAGGCGACCTATACGAGCTGCATGTCTAAGATTGATGAAGTTTTCAACATTTAGTGTTCAAACTTGAAGTATTTACCGCAGTTTAGCCATGATTAAACGAGGATAGAGAAGAGTAAACAAAGCCTCATCCCTGCCGTTGTATATTATGTATGATGAAGGGGTTCTGCTGCTTTTAAGTGCATTTCATTGTATATTTTAGTGCTTTCCTTGTATTAAATATTTAGGTATACTCACACCTTTCCTCTTTTTACTGCCTTGTTGGTTTAGTGGTCGCAAATATAGGCCTATCTTAAAAAGTGGTTGGTGAGAAGGTGGAAATATA